TTTTTTTTTTTTTTTTTTTTTTTTGGTACCAGGAATCAAACTCAGGACTTTGAGCTTGCAAAGCAGGCATGGTGCCATTGAGCTAAATCTAAATCCCCAGCCCAAGTGACATTATAATTTGAAAAACAACAGGAACAGCAGCAGCAGAACAATGCAGTTCTAACTCTATAGCCTCTTGTAACTTAAATGTGTATTTCTTACAAGTCAACAAAACAGCAAAGCTAAAAGAACTTTGAGACTATAAGAAGACTAATGCTGACAGATCCTAAAGGAGCCGTTGTTCAGTGCACTTCTACAAAGACAGTATTTAATTCTAACCATCATGCTTTAAAAGAAAAAAAAAAAAAAAAAAAAAAAAAATCAGAGAAAGATAACAAGGTAGCAAAGAAGGAAATGTTGAAGGAGTCAAAGCTGGCTTGGAGTGAAAACAGAAATAACTACAAGAGGACATAAATTTTTAATTTCTGAAGGACCATAAGGTAACCAAAAATTACTTGTTCTGTAAAGCTTCGCTGGACAAAAACATCAACATGAAGGTAAAGGCGGGTATTCACCTAACACATTATCTGACTGCACAATATCTGCCAAAGACTATACTAGTAATAGGTGATAGAGGTTTAGCAGTAAACTGCTTTTACTCACCAAGGTTACACTAGTGGTGGTGGTACACTCTGTGTGTGTGTGTGTGTGTGTGTGTGTGTGTGTGAGAGAGAGAGAGAGAGAGAGAGAGAGAGAGAATAAACAAGAACATCATAGTAATAAGCATCATGAAGGAAAATAAGGCAGGGTTAGGCAATAACAACAACAAAAAAAAGGAATAAACTATTTCAGAGTGGATCAGAATAACAAAATAAAACTTCTCTGATGTGGTTACTTGAACAGAAACCACAATGAATCTGGTTATTAGAAGGGAAGAAAGTCAAGACAATGAAAGTATGTGCAAAAGCCTTGTGCTAGGGCCAGGCGCAGTGGCGCATATTCCTATAATCCCAGCACTTGGGAGGCTGAGCCAGGAGGATCGCTGTGAGTTCAAGGCCAGCCCGAGCTGTATAGTGAGACCTTGTCACAAAACAAACACAACACAACACAACAAAACAAAAGCATTCCTAGGACTGGAACAATCTATCATAGTATCCTGATATAATTCAGTATGATGCATACAATATTACATATACAATATTCTCACCAAAAATATTCAGGCTGAATATTATAAAAATCAAGATTTGACATTTACTTCTGTCTAATTTTGGATAAAGCAAAAGTAAATGATAAATGAACAAAAGAAATTCAGACAAATCCTGAAGGTAAAATCTATCAAACTGACACGAATATTTCAAAAATTAAAGGGTGGGGGCAAAGACGTAAGCTCAGCAGCACAGCACCTGCCTGGAAAGTGTGAGGCCTTGAGTTCCATTCCAGTGCCAAAAAAAAAAAAAAAAAAAAAAAAAAAAAAAGGGGGGGAAAAAAGAAAAAAAAAAAAAAAAAAAAAAAAAAAAAAAAAAAAAAGAGGGGGAGATAAAGAGAGATAAAGATGAGGAAACTGCTCCAAACTGTAAGACTAAAGAGACATAACAGTAAAATGTAGTGTACAAACTTTAACTGGATTCTGATTTTCTAAAAAAAGGTACACGTATGCCAGGCATTGTGGCATACACCTCTACACCTCTACTCCCAGCAGTGGGAGGCTGAGGCAAGACTGCCTTAAATTTGAGGTCAGTGTGGGCACACTGAGATCAAGGCAGCCTAACCTGCATAGCCAGACCCCGCCTAAAACAACAAACAAAAATGGTGATACATGTATACAAATATGTATGGAGAGAAAAAAAATCACTCTAATAAACTAAATCGCTACAAGCATTTACCTGAACTATGAATATCTGCCAAGTGAAAAACCATCGGATGTCCCAGGAGTACTCATTTGTGCTACATCAAATAAGCACATACCACTTAAATGGCCCTGCCTTTGCTCCTCTTCCCTACCACTGAGATAAGCTACCCAAAGTGTCAGCCCTGTCAATCAAAAATTCTGCCAGCAGGTTACTGTCTTACAGAGGTCTCCTGGATCGTGTGTGTGTGTGTGTGTGTGTGTGTGTGTGTGTGCATGCTCACACACTCACTCCTCTGTCTCCCTAAACAGACACAGACATCAGAGAACTTTCTTATCAATGGGTCCCCTCACCTATCGTTCCCCATACTTATACTTGAAAAGTAATAAATCTCTACACCATTTGTAACCAATGGCTCCAGTGTGGTATATTTTAATACTGATAACAACCTGGCAGCAGGCCATGTCAGTCAATGTTACATACACCTTTCTACACATACATAGTCCTTATTTTGCATACTGTGTTAAATGTACAGAATCTATTTTTCTCTTTTTTGTGGTTCCATTGCAACTAACAAAATGTAGAACAGGTTCTGAGCCAGTAGATTACAGGCATGTGCTTGTAATCTTAGCACTTGAGAGGCTGAGGCAAGAGGACTGCTGCGAGTTTGAGGCAAGTCTGGCTACACAGTGAGTTCAGGACCATCCTGAACTAGATTTTGAGTTCCTGTTTCCAAAAAAATATATAATAATAGGTTCAGATGTGCAAATGTTAGTACAGTGTGTGGAAGACAACATTGTATTTTGTGTAAGACAGATATTTTAGGATAATGAAGCAAATCTGTGTAAGGACTAGAAATCTGATGATTAATATAGAACTATTCATAATTTTTATAGATAAAGCTATGATTGTGATTACCTAAAACATCCTTATTCTTAGAAGATGCAAATCGAAACATTCAGGAACAATATGATGTTCCAACTTACTTTCAATTGTTTTAGCCAAAATAAGTATATACATGGTTGGAAATGTAGCAAAGTCCTTAGCACTGCAAAAACCCTGGGTTCAATCAACAGCAAAAAAACCTTAATTATACAAAGATATAAAGCAAATATAATCCAGTACTAGCAGTTGGTGAATCTTGATGGATGATATATCATTATTTACTGTATCTGTACTTCGGTTTTCCTATAAGCTTGAAACTATGAAAGTTAACAGCTTCCAAGAAAAACAAAACAAAACAAAACACAACACAACAAAACAAAACAAAAAAACAGTAAGGGGTAGACCAGGCATGGTGGTGTACACCAATAATCCCAGGATTCAAGAAGCTGATGATGCAGGAGGGTCACTACAACTTCAAGGCCAGCCAGTGGGCTCACAGCCAGCCTGAACTACAAAGCAAGACACTGTCTCAAAAAAATCAAGGGATAGAGGAAAATGAGGACCAATTTCCAATAAAGCAACCTGTTTTTTCCCCACTGTACAAAAAGCACAGTATATTGAAGGGATTACATGCAGTATTCAGTAATTTGCTATGAAATAAGCGGCATGGTTTACTTTAACCTTTCTCAACCAAATATAATTTTTTCAGATTTCTACCTTATCACAGGTGATCAAAGAACGTGGTTCAAAGCTTGATGCACCAGAAATGTGGGCTAATGCTGCAGCCAAGGCATCCACTGCCCCTTTCTCTTCTATTAGTCTCTGAGCTGATGGTCGGAAAAAATCAACAGCAGCATAAGAAACAGAAGCCAGAGACCTATGGTTTAAAAATAGTAAATATTTTTGGTCAAGACACAGGGAAAAGGAAAGACAAAGAGAATGAATGGGAAAAGAAAGAGAAACATTTTCATATTTTAATATAACTAAATATCTGCTAGTAAAACTAGTGATTAAAATGTTCGGATATTTGAACTAGGAGAGCTTAAAGATGAATAGCCTAATACAAAAGAAAAAGTTATTCATCAAGGTCAAAAAGCATACCTGATGGCATCCATGCTTTTAGATTTAACTAAATCCATTGTAGAAGGAACACCTACACGTTTAAAAGTTATTCCCTGAAAATGAAAGAATTACATTAAAGAAAAATGGAAGTCATTACAATTAATTCCTAAATAATTATTTGTTGAAATTCCATTTCTTGGACTTAAAGATTTCCAAGCCCTAACAGAAGAAAGGATCTTTCTATTAAATCATTTATTATAAACTTCAAAAAGAGAAAAAATATTTTTTGAAGTGCCCTTGCAAAAACAAAGCTGACTCAAAAAGAGAAAAAGATGTTTAAATTTACCAATTTTTTTATCACCTCATCTCTCTTTAAAAAGTATATGAGACAGGAAAGGAAGGGGACGTTAAGAGGGAGAGGGAATAAAATAAAAATTATAAAAATAAAATAAAAAGTATATAAGATAGCATAAAAAATGGGGAAAAATTTGAAATATGCAAAAATATTTAGGCCACAAAATACATATAATGTTTAGTAGAAACTGGCTATTGTGCCATTATCAATATAATTTTAACTAATACACCAAGACAATATCATAGTCACTCTTTACAATGCTGGACTGATGTACTAAAATCAACATACTTCTGAGTTTAATATCAAGGGAGAAATTCAAGGGGAAAATGAGATCATCACCTCCTATCTTCACAATAAAAGCTGTATTAAAAAAAGTCTTGCAGCTAATATAAATTTAGCTCTCCACATGCTTCACAGCCAAATGCAGCTTAAACTGAGAAAAGTTAGGAAGATCTATTTGTGAGAACAAATATAAAAAGAGCTCTAATGCATCACGGTCATAATAAATTATATTCTGAAATAATGTAACTTTACTTACTGCTTTTTGTTCCACATATCTTAGTTGACCTCTTTCTCTTGGTTGATAAAAACATATGCAAATCCCTGTTCGGCCAGCTCTCCCTGTGCGTCCAGAGCGATGAATATAGGACTCAACATCCTTAAAAAAAAAAAAAAAAGAGGGAATAGTTGGGCCGGGGACTTAGCTCAGTGGTACTGTGCCTGCCTCAAAAGCACAGTCCTAAGTTCTATCCCCAGTATCCAAAAAAAAAAAAAAAATTGGTAAGCTCCATAATAATCCCAGTATTCAAATGTTATTATTAATGCTAATGATACGAACAATAATATCTCATTCCTGTTGTAGTTTTCAACATCCCAAATAATTTATATAGAATTAGTGTATGAAGGAAGATATGACTAGCCACCTACCCCAAGGTTCTTGCTATTCAACTCCCTCCCCCCTCCGGTACCAGGGATCAAACTCAGGACCTTGCACCTGCAAGGCAGGCTCAGTGCCACTGAGCTAAATCCCCAGCCGTCTATGCAACTTTTTACAACTCCCCTCACATGGTTTTGTTGCCCCAACTTTCAAATCCAAATAATGAAGTTACTCATATTTAAGGGCAATGGATTCTGATATTTGTAATACCACACTAACAAAAACTAGCTGGACCAAGAACAAATGACATATTTTTCACATCCCAAACAATCTTTATAAATAAAATACCCAAACTGCTTTTATTTCCCCAAATCAAATACCATTTCCTACCTGTGGAGGAGAACTCTGAATCACCAGGTCAACCTCAGGAATGTCCAAACCACGAGCAGCCACATTGGTGGCCACCAAAACTTTAAAACTACCTTCTCTGAAGCCTTTCAATGTAATTTCTCTTTGTGACTGTGCAATGTCCCCATGTAAACACTGGGCATTCTATTGAAAAAAGGGGAAAATTTAACTGTGCAGCTCATATTTACAATTGATAGTACTCTCTAACACCATTTGGTCTGTGCTTTTTGTTTTGTTTTATAATCTTCTTGTTTTTAATAATTAAAACAATACATGCTTGTTTTAAAAAAATTAAAGAAAAGATTTAATAAAACGTGTAAAAGCTTCCCTACTGCCAGCCTCTTAGAAATAATTCACTGCTAAAAAGCTGATGGGTATTCTGTCAGGTATTTTGTTATTTTCTTGCAGTGATGGGATTGAATTCAGGCATTACGCATGCTAGGCAATTACTCTACCACTGAGCTACATCCACAGCATGGAGATTGTTTTTTTAGTACTTAACATTCTGTCCCTCATTCACATATACCAATATATACTATAATTTTATGTATTCGTTAATACAAATGGGAGCATAGTTTTGTATGTACTGCTTGCCAACCTACCTGCTTACCTATTTACCAAGTTCACTCTACCAGTGAACTACATCCCCAGTCCTCTATGTCTTTTAAATTCTGAGACAGGGTCTCATTAATTTGCCCAGGCTAACCTCAAACTTGTCATTCTGCCTGAATCATCCGAGCAGCTAGCATTACAGGTGGGTTCCACTGCCTGCCTCTATTTAATTTTTTAAATCCACTACAATTTCTTCATATAGTTATAGCAACACTTATTTTACTAATACTCTTTTTAAAAGTTTATTTTTTATTTTAGCAATATTCCACTGAACATAAGTTGTATCTAAGTTTTCTGCCTTTTGGGCAGTACTGAGGATTGAACCCAGGTCATTCACACTGAGCTACATCCCATCTTTTTAAAAATGTTTCATTTTGAGACAGGTTCTCACTAAGGTGCTAAGTTGCCTGGGCTGGGCTAGAACTTGTGATCCTCCTGCCTCATCCTCACAGAGTGCTGGGTACAGGTATGTACCACCACACTAGGCTCTGAATTTTCACCTTTAGAAATAATGCTGCCATGAATGACCTTACACACATATCTCTGGATGCCTCTATATATGTGTTTTTCAATTCTAAAAGTTAAATTTCTGAAGGAACAGGAAGAGGGTAGGGAAAAACAAAGTTTAGATGTATTATGCACATGTACCAGTGACCCAGGATAAATGTAATCACTATGTACTACAAACATGTATGTACTAATAAACACATTATTTTCATCATCCTCAAAAAAAATAATTTTTGAAGTCTCATCTCTCATAGTGAAATGCCATTACCTTTCATTAAATGTACCAATAAAATTAATTTTTAAAAATGTCATTACTGCCGGGCGTGGTAGCGCACGCCTATAATCCCAGCACTCAGGAGGCTGAGGCAGCAGGATCGTTCTGAGTTTGAGACCAGCCTGGGCTACAAAGTGAGTTCCAGGTCAGTCTCAACTACATAGTGAGATCCTGTCTCGAAAAACAAAAAATGTCATTACTACCAGGCATGGTGGAGTACGCCTATAATCCCAGCACTTGGGAGGCTGAGGCAGGAGGACTGCTGTGAGTTTGAGACCAGCCTGGGCTACATAATGTGACCCTATCTTAAAAAAAAAAAAAATCCATTACTGGGCAGGGGATTTAGCTCAGTGACTCCACCACCTGCCTTGAAAGCACAAGGATAGTTCAATCCCCGATAGCCAATAAATAAATAAATAAATAAATAAATAAATAAATAAATAAATAAATAAATTCTATACTCCCCACTGTAGAAACTGACTTCTTACTGAGATGGAAACTCTCCCTAGTCTTTGCAGCAAGGAGACTCAAACCTCTGAGATAAAGCAATAGCTTCTGCAAGAGAGCTGCAGTTCCACAGCAATGACAGGAAGATAAAACCACTACCCTCCTGTACTTTCACGCTTTAGCATCTATCTGTTTATATGGACAGTTCAAACATCTGCGGACGGTACACAATTAGTTAAAACGACAAAGGGAAAAAGGTGACAGCATAGTCTTTGAATCTTCAGTTCCCACATGAAGACAAACATCTAGGAAAAGAAGACTACAACACCCACAGACAATATATATAACAAAACTAAATGACTTTCTTTCTAAACAATAGCAGGAAGAAATAGACTTGTATGCTTGGGGCAATCTGCTAGTCCAAAGAACAGGCACTCCCTGGAAAGCATCTACTCAAGCAAACTGCTAAAAATAGTAGTTGTGACTTGTAAGGGTTTTATATACTCAAGGTGACTGTGAGGTACCTACCAGAGGCAAGGTCTGCACAGGCTACAGCAGCGCTGGTGCTCAAGCCTAAAGAAACTTTCCAAACTAGCAAGTGAACACTCTCCTCCCTTTCTAGGACAAAGCTCCATAATGAGAAGAAACTGTTGGGCCCAAAATCCAAACTAAGGAAGCCAAGGATAATAGGAGCAAAGGAAAGCAAAGATACAGATAAAAGCGAGGAAGGACACAGCTGGCGCTCAGAAGTGAGAGACCTCTTTTCTTTGTAATGCTCTATGGAGATAAAATTTGCAGATCATATTTTTAAACACTAACACAAATAACAAAAGCAGTGGCTTAAGAGCTGTGAAGCTAAAAAACTATTCTGAACCATGCCTTCCCATTCAAAATTCAGGATTAATTTCATCTAAAAATGAGCAAAAGAGGCCTTTCTTGAGGGCCTGTGCTCTATTCCCTCTGAGGGTGGTCTACCTTTTAAAAATTCTATCAATAAACCTTTATGCCTCTCAAAAAAAAAAAAAAAAAAAAAACCCCAGTCAACCCCATGCCAAAGAAGAAACAACAATATTCTCATACGTATGAAAATTATCTAGAAAAATATGTCTATAAATAGATGAAGTACAGCATTGTATTTCTGAATGAACAAAAAGAAGTTTCTTTTACAGTGCTAGGGATTGAACTCAGGCCTCACACATGCTACACAACTGCTGAGCAACACCCCAGACCAAAAAGAAAACTTTTTTTTTTTAAATGGGGTTGGCTGTTTTGTTTTGGTTTTGAGACAGGGTCTCACTATGTAGTTCAGGCTGGCCTGGAACTCACTATGTAGCCCAGGCTGGCCTCAAACACATGGCAATCCTCCTGCCTTAGCCTTCCAAGTGCTGGGATTACAGATGTGCACCACCACATCTGGGAGGAACTTTTAAAGGACATATTAAAGCACAAAAATCAAAATAAGAAAAAACTAATACATTCAATAAAATGACTCAAAAATAATGAAACATTTCATGAATAGACTGTATTAAAAGAAATGCAGAGCCAGGGATTTGGTTCAGTGGTTCTGCCACCTGCCTCACAAGTTCAAGGGCCTGAGTTTGATCCCTGATACCAATAATTAAATACACACACACACACACATACATACATACATAATATAAGAACAGTGAATGCAAAGATGTCTTTAAAATGGGAAATTGTGAAACCTTAAAATTTAAAAATAAAGAAAAAGATGAGATAAAATGACAAAAGAGTAGAAAAGGAAAACCCAACATACTCATAAGAGTCATTAAAGAAAGCCAAAGCAATCAGACAATATGAATATTAAGAAATGAGCTACAAGCTGAGCGCGGTGGTGCACTCCTGTAATCCCAGCACTCGGGAGGCTGAGGCAGGAGGATCCCTGTGAGTTCGAGACCAGCCTGGGCTACATAGTGAGTTCCAGGTCAGTCTCAATTACATAGTGAGAAAAAAAAAAAGAAAAAAAAGAATTGAACTACACATGCCAGTACTCAGGAGGCAGAGGTAGGAGGATCACTGTGAATTCTAGACCAGCCTGGGACCTACAGTGAGCTCAAGACCAGCCTAGAATACATAGCAAGATCCTGTCTCAAACAAACAAACAAAAAAATTGTAAATTAAGGGAAAGGGATGTAACTAGGTAGTAGAGCACTTGCCTAGCATGTGTGAGACCCTGGATTTGATCCCCAGATTCCAAAAAAATCAAAATTATAATTCAGGCTGGCATAGTGGCTCATGCCTGTGATCTACCTATTCAGGAGGCTGAGTTTGAGACAGGAGGATCGTAAGTTTGAGGGTAACATGGGCAACTCTGCAAAACACCATTCCCCCATAAAAAAAATTTTAAAGGACTAGGGATGCACCTCAGGGATAGAGTACTTACCTAGCATTCACAATGCACAAGGCTCTGAGTTCAGTTCCCAGTGCTGCCAAAAATAAAAAGTCTAAAACTACAAAATGTATATTCATATATCCAGAAAATGTCTAAAATATTTCCTAGTTGAATTATGGAATTGGGGAGGGGTTGGTAGTGTTGAGGGTTGAAACCAGGACTTCACATGTGCTAGACAAGTGCTCCACCACCAAGCCACAACCCCAGCAGAACCATTGGCGCAATTTTTAATGGATTTTTTTGGTTTTTGATTTTGAGATGGAGTCTGGCTATGTTGCCTAGGCTGTTGTCAAACTCCTAAGCCTCCTGAATAACTGAGACTATAGGCATGTGCCACCACACGGAGGCACTGAATTTTAAAAATAAAATCAGTTATAAGGAGGGCGGGGTGGGGGTTAGCTCAGTGGTGCCGCCACCTGCCTCGGAAGCACGGCCCTGATT